ATTTTGAATTTTGCCCGGGTGGCGGCCGAAGCCTACTCTTATCGATTTTAGACCACCAAGGGATCTTTAACACAGACAAACACAACGACCCCTGCAGGATCAGAAATAAAACTGCACAACTCAGCAATACCTCATTTTTCTCTCCAAGAGACCAGCAACAGCAACAGTTTAATTAAAAATTATTTTTCGTAAGAGTTTTAGGTCACTAGCAACCCAAGCAAATCATATAAGCGCCAAAGACTTGGACCAATTTAGCCTTTATTCTTCTCTGATTTTTTTTCTCTCATTCCAGTCACCGGGGCAACAAACAATCACAGACGATGGAAAAAGTGAAAAAAAGACCACACAAAAACCTGAGAACAGCAAACACAAAAAACAAGATTCTGCCAAATACACAAACTGTTTACATCCAGGCAACTATCTCTCACTCTAAGAAAGAAAATGCTGGAATGCAACATCTTCCCAATATTTCTATATGCTGCGGAGACCTGGACTTAGACAAAGAAAGGAAAAAAACCCAACAAAATAGATGTGCTTGAGATGTGGTGCTACTGCAGAATGACCAGTGGAAGTTGGAAAACACAAAAAAGACGAACAATGACGTGTCGTGTCAGATTCTCCACACAAGACAAACCCTGCAGAATAAAATAAAATGTAAGAAAGCACAATACTTTGGCCACTTAAAACGACACAAGAGACCATTGTGAAAGGGGTGTTTGAAACAAGGCGGATGTGGGGCAGGAGAGCCAGGGAAAGACAAAAAGTAACTTGGATGGACAACATAAAAAAACATGGACTGTCCTGGATTGGATATGGCATAATGAGCAATGGCAGTTCGTGACCGTGAAGGATGGAGGATCAGTTAAGTACACGTGAACCACGGAGTCAGAGATGACAACTCCAGCTCCTGTCGTTGCGTCATTTTACCTTCCCTCACACCCATTACGACAGTACACGCTTCGTATTTTAGCAATTTGAGTCAAAAGAGGTTTTTAAATCTACATAAATTCTTTAATTATAGTTGGTTATCTGTTCACATCTACTGAGTCCAGACATTTTTAAACTGTTTACTTTCTGTTTTTCAATTGCAGTAGAAGTTGCATGTGTTTAAGACATCTTTCGCCGACATTAAAATTCTAAGTTTTGGAGAAAAAAAAAGCAAGTAAAGATACATAGTGTATAATACACATCTCTCAATCTCTCTACCTATCTCTGTCTATCTACCTCTGTCTATCTCTCTCTATATATATCTCTCTCTCTCTCTCTCTCTCTATC